GAAGCCGAACAGAGCGACGACGACGACGGCGCGAGGCTTACTTTCTTCTTAACTCTTTAAGAGCTACAAGAAGAGCAATTATATATATACCCCACCAAAAATCTTTTCCTCTTCCAATATGGGACAATGTCTTATTGTCAAGAGGGGAAAACTTAAAATTTTACTCAAAAATTTCATTTTCCCTCCATTTCTCATTCACCCTCATTTTAAGACTATTTCATCTTAAATAACAAAAACCTCAACAAATAGTAAAGTAGGAAATTATATATAATGTTACTAAATAATGAGTTAGAAAGAGTAAGCTTAAAGGATCATTTGTGTTGTCAACAAATTTAAATGTAGATTAAAATTCTTTGAAATTACGGTTAACGTCTGAGACCATATCTTCTCGTCCCAAAGATTAATAACGTTCGTGTACTTTACTACTGCATCTTGTTCTAACTTATATGTGTTTTCTAAAATCTTGCTTTATTTTAGATAAGATCGATTATTCTTCTGAGTTTAAGTTATATGTACGAATAATTTAAACAATTTACACTAATATAATTTAATTGGCTGATTACAGAAGATTATTACTCTATTTTTCAAGTTATTATTCAGACTTAATAAATAGACTTACTTATTATTGCAGGTCAAGGGGTTGTATAGTTGTATCCCCTTAGCATTAGGAGATTCGAGTTTAGTGGTTAAAGGGGTTGAAAAATTACTTTCAGAAGTTTAAATCTTAGTGTTATATTCTAGTAGTTTTTGTTTTAGAGTTTACGTTTTATATATGCACTGACGATGTTAAAAATATTGATATATGAATTAGGTCACCTAAAAGGTAATTGTAAGTAAATCTATGTAATAAGTATTGACTAATAACCTAAAGTAAATGATAAATGTACCGCTATAAGAGGTTAAATTATATTTATGGTATAAAAATGTTGCAATGTTAGTATATATAACTTAATTTTTTTAAGCGGCGTGATTACGTAAGTATTTCTTATATTGTGACTACATAAAAATTAGACTCTTTACATTTAGTGCCATAAACGTACACAAATGTAGGCATGCACGAGAACATTTTTGTTTTTAGTGGCCTAAGCAGGAGAATAGTGGGTATGCTTCCTACAGTGAGATGGGGACCGCTTATGCCAATCACTCGGTGTTTGGTATCTACTTTGGAGCCCAACTATATTTGGATTCACATCGTATAAGGCTCATTTAAGACGGAAGCGCTTCCTAACAAAAAAGAATTCACACGCAAAATTCAAACTCGAAACCTCTAGTTAATAGTGAAGGCGTCCTATTATAGTTAAGAGTGAAGGGGTCCTATTATGAGATCATAATGAACCTTAGCCATGCCTTTGACATACTCATATATACACCAAATAAACTTTTGAGTAGAGTTGGTTTCATTGGGGACCATTTTAGTACATGGAGCATGCTCCCCAACTATTATGGAACCTTTCCACTCCACAAAATAATTTCCACTTTAATGCCACCTCTTAGGGATACTCCATCCTACAATTGAAATAAAAAAATCCAAAAATAATTAGTCATATGAAGGACTTAAAATATTCTAAATTGGAAGGAAGGCATCTGAAGTGAGCAAATACAAAAATTTACCTTTTATTGATGCAAAGACATCAAGTAATTGACCCCATCTAATTTAAGAATAGAGTTCAGTAAATTGGTATATACACATACAAAGTTTGAATCCGTCATATTCATAAAAAAATAATGGATGCAATGATGCTTCTAAGTAAACTTAAAATTTTAAATTCACCAATTAAGATCTATACTCTTTTTCAAAGGGTGATTTTTGGGGGTTTGTCGGTACTCGACACTCAATGGTCCAAATATCCCGATTCGCATAGTATAAGGCTCATTATTAGGGAAGCGCTTATTTTTCTCTCTTCGTGAGGGCTTGAGATTGAAATTTTGGTTAAAGTGGAAGGGTATCATCCATCTCAACACACTCTTTTGTGGTGAATAGTGATTGTATGGCCATCAAATCATATAATATTTATCTGCGCTGGATTGTTGCACCAAACCAAGCAATTTAACTGCAGCAGTGAAAAATTAGAGTATATATCATTTGTAGCCAAAAAAATTTAAAGTAAGAATACATTGCACTTAACCATAACTTAAGGGCATCTCCAACCCTCTCTCATTTCTGCATAATGAGGGTATTTTTTGTCATAATGAGGCTCCAATGCTCTCCCATTTTTGCCTCCAAAATGGAGGATGAATACTGTTACCTCAAATATGGAGTGACACTATTCATCTCCTCCATTACTATTCATCCTTATTTTATTATTATTTTTATTATTTAACTCTTTTAATTTATCTCTTTATATATACCTAATTATGTTTATGTAATATCTTTATAATATTAATTTTACATCTTAACTTTGGTATATAATTTTGATAAATTATTTTTCGTGCATTTATTATTTTTATATAAAATTGTAAGTTAATTTTATTATAAGTTATAATTGTACAAAAAATATATAATCATCTCAAAAAATGAATGGTGCAAATATAAAATATTATATGTTGCTAAAATTGAAAGGTGCGAATATAAAATATTAGATGTTGCTAAAATTGAAAAGTAAAAATTGGAAATACATGAAAATTAAAAATACATAAAAATTGAAACTAAGGTAAATAGCATAATAACTATTTATCGTTAATATATATAATCTATAATATTTGAATTATCCGTTAATATATATATAATCTATAATATTTGCTTATAAATTATATTATTTAAAAATTTATGGTATAAAATAATTTTATATTAAATGATATGTGATGAATATGTAAAAAAAAAAAGATAGAATTTCTTTAATAGAAATAAGAAATTAAAATTTAAATAAAAATAATAATATAATATTGAAGAGAGAGAAGAATATAAAATGGAATATTCTTTATGGTTAGAGTAACTTTACTCTATTTTAGAGGAGAAAATGGAGGCAAGGGTTGAAAATGGCCTAAGTGATAAATATGTATAACAAAATAAATGTATTCTATTTATTGATTCGATATAAATATGCACAAGTATTTACCATCAATCTGCCCCATTTGGACCATTGGGGTTCCTTAAATAAACAGAAACAGCTATACCATGCTATTTTTCCACGTTTCCACAAGCTCCCTTTCTAAAAAGAATATTTCATTTTCTTTTAGGACCAGACTATTAGAAACTCTTCTTCTTGAAGCAAACCCACAGTATACCCAAGTATACTCATCATATTGAGGACCCAACTATCACAACTACCAACTTAACTAACCTCCAAAGTACATATCATAATTTTGGCGTCGCAAAGGAATAGTATTCAACCACATAATATGAATTAAAATAGGGGTGTCAAATGAGCGAATTGAACTGATTTTGGGCAGGTCAAAATGAATTGAGTTCATTAGATGGGCTGGTCAATGACCAATACAAAAATTACATGAGCTGAGATGGACCAGATTAAGATGGGCTAAAATCTGGGTTATAATCCAACATGTCCAACTCTTATCAAACTTTAATTAATATATATTATTTTCTTTTAAATTGTTTAATTACTAAATAAGATTTTTTTTCTTTTATTATGGTCATATATAACATACCAAACAAAAAGAATTATTTTAAAGATACTTTGTCAAAGTTACTCATGGATCAATTTGGACTAAAAATCAGACTCAAGATGGACTGAGTTCAACAAATAAGAGGATCAATGACCCGCCCAACTTTGGGCAGGGTGGGTCGTATTTCTCTGGGCCAATTTTGATACCTCTAAATTAAAAGCACGCAATAACCCTTAATAATATGACCCAAAAAGTCCCACGGAGCTGTCAAATACAGGTATTACGAGGCCCACGACTTTCTTGATTGCCACATTCTCAATTCGAAAAACTAGCATTTCAGTTGATGCCCTCTCATTCGTTCCTCCTAAATTGCACATTCAACAAAATGACACATGATATTTGTATGATCATGAAGTTTTGTCCTAAGGTAATTAATTTGAATAGAATATAGATTCTGAATATATATTGATAGTGTAAAAGTTTTTAAGTTATCATATCATTTAAAAGATAATTATAACTAATCATCCTAATAAGTGAAATTAGTAGCGTAAGACAAGTAACCTTTTTATAGTAGGTTAAATTGTGTTAATAACATAAAATTTTATTACACTGTCAATAAATACATAACAGGTAAAACCAACTTTAACATTACTTGTTTATGTTCATTATTCACAAGAGCGAGGACAGTGATATATCCAATTTGGTGAGCTGGAAAAGCAACCTAGCCAGCTTCAATTTAAAGGACCCTTGGTAAATGTAATAAAATCTTGAGGAAATATGGATCCAAATTCAAATTGTTTTATTTTCTGGTAAAAAGGAAGAAAAAAAGACAATCAAAGTCAGATCTCTCTATAACAACATTCATATATAATAGTCATTCACTATAAAAGTTAACTTTTTTCGGAACGAACTTTTATATTATATTATAATATATGTTCTCTATAACAACATTTTACTATAGCAGTTAAAAAATATCGAAATAAACGAAACTGTTATAAAAAGGTTTAATTACAAGATTGTTTTCCTATAGCAAATCTCTTAAACACATGTAACAAATTTCTCCCAAGTCAAATACAATCACGCACGCTGCCTCCTATAAAACCAAACTGATTTTAGTTTTAATGTCCGTGCCCAGCTTTCACACCTCCTATATTCCATCAGGTATATGAAAGAAAAATATCTGTTTTCTATTTTCAACATATATCTTTGAAAAACTGTACGTGCGTGTCTACCTCCTGAGTTCATACCATTCAATGTGGACCGACATTTTATTTTCATTTGCTCTGAATTTTCAATGATAGTAATATATCAATGATTTAAATTGTTCTTCAGTTTTTGCTGAAAATCAACGGAATCTTTTGCAAACACTCTTTCAAGTTTTTGAACCAAACGCCAAAAAAAGACAAGAATATAATGTCTGCTTAACCACCTACGGATACAGGGAATTCATATACTACTACGTAGCAAAATAATAGGCGAACACCAAAGTATATAAAGAACTCTGGCATAAAGGGTGTCTATATTCTGCAATGCAAAAAAAGATGATAATTAACCTAAACACGGAACAAAGGCATATCTTTGCTTAGGGAGAGAATTGAGGAATAACACGGAATACAGCTCAAACTACAATCCGAAGTTTTAGTCTGCATAATTCTGATGGTAACAATTAACAGAGCCCCATGTGATGATAGTACCTTTACTGGAAACTAATATCGATACTGAGGTTGACGAGGGTACTCGTAAAGAGAGCTTGCTGCAGATGACTCAGGAAGCACACTTCTAGTACTGTACTCTGTAGATATACCACCATGACGGTATACTGATCGCAAACCCACAGGAGGGGGGTTATACTCGGGCTCTGAGTGCGCCGAGTTCACAGGATCACGGTATGATACACGCTCACGGTATGACACGTAGGGATCATTGATCCCAATATCATCCCGGAGTCTAGTTTCCAAACTCAGTGGCTGATGATATTCACGACGCTCTGGGAATCCATCCCGTCTGTAATAATCACGTGGTTCTACTACTGCCTGTCTTCTGTAAACATCAGGATTGCCTAGCACTGTGTCACGTGGCTCTACTACTGCCTGTCTTCTGTAAACATCAGGATTGCCTAGCACTGTGTCCCGCCTATAAGCATCAGGAAGTTCCACCAATCGGCTCTGCCTATAAGTATCATCATGCTGTATCACTGTGTCCCGTCTATAAGGATCTGTTCTCAAAGTCCTACTATATGCATAAGATTGAACAGGAGCAGGTGGTGGTAAAGGTTGAAGCGGGGCTAATGGCACCAATGGAGATGTAACTAAATCCCTTTCATGAAAATGAGGACGTTCAACCCGCTCACGGTACCCACGTTCTTCAACCCGCTCAGGTCGTCGAGCACGTTCAGCCCGTCTTCTGCCATCCCGACCCCGCCTCTTAACTCTATCTCGCTTGGATATCGCAGGGGTCTCAAATCCAAGCCGCGTGTCTTTGGACCTGGAACCTTTGCTCGCAGCAGTGAAAAGCTTACACAGGTCCTTCACCTAGCAAATAGCAACAAATATGCAAACAAATTGTAGGTGCCGAGACTCGCAAGAAAACTGAAGACTGACAACAGTAACAAATAACGCTTAACCTGAGATACCCATTAAGCACAAACAAGATGGATCAAGTACCTGTTTAGAGGACAATAGGCAATCAAACTTTGACCTTGTGAAATAGTTCTTCTTAATCGCTTGCCTGAACGTCTCCTCTGCTAGTGGTAAGCAATCCTCAAGAACAGAAAAGCGAACCTGAAATCAATTTCCAATAAAAATTAACACAAAATGTTCAAGTAAAAAAAAAAATCCCACTTATCACACTACGAAAAGCACCAATAGAATTCTAGTATCTATATTCATCGACGAATTCGTCGAACAAACATATACATATACATAATTCCTCCAAGGGAAGTAAGTTTATACATTTACAAACTCATGTTGCACGGCCTCCCAAACCCCAGGGCCACCAGCCACAAACAGACCTCTGGCAGACAAGCACACAGGAACGTGATGGAACTCCTCACACATAAAGATAGGCACTCAAGGTAAAATATTGTTCAAGGAAAACTCTCATAGAGCAATCCTTGCCAGAACCGGCATAAGAAAGACTAGGAGTCACAGTAATTATCCTATCGTTTGCCCATTAATGAAAGAATTATGCAGCAAGCTTTAATTCAATGAAAGCTAAAATAACTTCACACGTCCCTTTTTTAGGCACTCCGACTGTGATGAGATTTAAAATCTAAAATAATTGTTTTCTACCTATGTCTCTACCTGGCCAACCCTCCTCACATTCATCTGATGAATTGCTCAACATCGATTTGACGATAAGACAGAAGATTTGCCTTCTTTATTGAGGCGGGAATAATGAAAATGGAAGATCTGCCTTATGTTAATCACTACTAACTTATTTTGGTATGTATTAGGGTTCCCAAGAAAGAAAAACCATATTCAGTGTAGAATTCGCCATAACATTGGCATATCAGTCTCATTTGAAATCTTCCAAAACACTCAGAAACACATAAAATAAAACCATGTAATGGTGAATAAACGTTCAATTTGGTACAATTTATAACTTTTGCATCCACTAGAGAGTTGAGACTGTGATCTACAAGCAATAGACCTTAAGCTCAAAGACCTTAAATATGCCTAGGTAATCAAGATCCAATGCACAAATTAGTATTTTAGATCCCTAACAAGGAAAAGACAACAAAAAGCTCAGTAATACCTCATCTGCATTTGGTTTACAAGGAATTAAAAAACTGATAAGGAATTGTAGACAATACCAACACATATCAAACATAAATCAATAGCAGGATCACCTATCCCAAAAAAAAAAAAAGCAATATTCTTATTTAGAATGTTCCATGAGAAAAATAGCAAGTTGTAACTTCCCCATAACCAAGACCCAGGAAATAAGACGTCCATACTATCCTTGTGGTAAAATATAGACAATCAGACGAAATCCTCTAATACCAATTCTGATGGAAACATTAAATTTGAAGCAACCAACCACTCATGGAAAACGTGAAGAGAAGTGATCTATATGTAACTTCGCAACATTTTGAAGCGTACGAACAAGTGGTAGGTGTATACATGCTAGAGCATCAGATTACTGATGTAGATACTTAACGATTATTACAAGGCATCGCACAACACTGATCCCATTGTCAGCCTTAAGTGCTATAGAGAGGTAACATTTTTTTTAAAAATCAGTATCACAGTGCTGTCATTTTCTATGATTGGCAGAAGGAAACAGGAAAAAGGAAGGGAGCAAAATCCTGACCTCACAGACACAAATATATACAAGGGAAATCAATACAATATTGTCAAACCAATCATGCCTCAAAGGTTTCTTCGCACCAAACATGCCATTACCTTGTGGATCAAATTAGGAAAACATTATGCAATCCATTTAAAAGGCGGAATTTTTATATCTAGTGTTTGGAGCATGAGGCGTAGTAGCCGTTGTTGTAATGTTTGGAGCATGAAATTAAGGCTACAATTGGAGAAGTAAATAATTTATGATAGGAATACCTTTGACATACATCAAATCATATACAACAAAAAATGCAATAAATTTTACCTACATTTGGACCTATCTTCAGGGTTTAAATGCCTCTCAAGCAAGCTTAAGACATCACTGCTTAATAAGGCTTTTGTACATGAAGATGGATAAAATTGACTTAAAATACTTAACATCACTAATCAAGCCCCTCCAACAAGAACATGTGTTTGAAGTTAAAAATATTTTGCGTTATATTGGGAGTGACAGAGAAAGTTTGAATTCTACTCCTGAATTGTCTTTTGTATTCTATAATTGTACATGAAGCTGCCTTTTTGAGTTTTGATACTTCACTAATAAACTTACAATCTGTATATATCAAAAGAATAGATTATAAAATTAGAACCCAGAGATATATCTATCAAAGGAATAGAAGGATGGAACTCTATTTGGGGTCATCAGACTAAACCACAAGTACTTGATAACTGCTTTGGTTGTTATATGCGCCAACACACAATTGAACATAAAGAGCAATACCTGACTTGAAAATTAGATACTGCATCCCCCTGCTTCATCTTTTCTGCCTTTCTGTTATACCAACATGCGTGTACATACACATAAAGATGGAACCACCTGAATTTAATTGCCTACTGGTTTAGTCTCCTAAGGTTAGGTACTACTACTAAGGTATAAATTATAGGCACTAGAACCAAACTAACTCTTGCCCACTTACTCAAAGGAATAAAGGGTTTTTTCTTGATGAACTTATTTATTGTTTTCTAGGGTTTGTTTGCCTCAAACAAACGTATTATACTCCGAACTAGGAGAAAATGACGAGACTAAATCATTTTTCACAAGTAAGGCAGTAACCCTGTTCTTTTTTTGAGAAAGGGTAACAAACCAGTAACCTTATTCTAATATGAGTAGTTTCATCACAACCATTTTCACCATTTAATACTCGTAACCATCACTAAAACAATTCTGACATGCTCAAGCGCTCACCGATTACCAGATATCAAGTACTTTTACACCCATTCAACGACACTAATGACCATGACATTGTCTAAATTATACCACACATCCTAAATGGACAAATTCGACTTGATTCTCAAATGGAAAAACTGCAAACTTTTAAACCGATCAAATTCAACCTCTCACCTATCCTTTCTTGGCTATGCCCATTATGACATACGCTTTACGTCTAAGGAACACTATTGACAAAACAATTTCAAATATAAGGAGTAAAAGTTTAATGCTCCGGGCATTGTATTCTCCAATTTATTTTGGATAATACAAAATCTATAAAGAATTTTACCTGCTACCAACAATCATACAGGAATATCCATCTTCTATTTATTTTTCTTTTCTTTGGATGGGGGCTGACTTGTTTCCCATTCATTTCTCCAAATTAAATGAGGAAAAACTTTACCTGGATGTTTCATTCAGCAGCCAATTCAATGGATTTAATTATTCTTAGGACATTTAAAAGCAATTTGAATGACGTAATGAATGTGCTCCCAAATACAAAGTCAATCATTTAAACCATAACAAGAAAACTGAATAGCACCTAATAATGGAAACTCCTTACCCTCAAAGGACAAGAAAGTATTTTTTTTTTTCATTTTTTTAATGGGTAACTTCCTAATTTCTAAAGATCTTCTCTGATAATTTTTCTTTTTTCCTGGTTGTCTACAGTCTACACACCTCAGTAGAGCGAAATATCAAGTTACAACTTCAAGAATTTACTAGTATAAATGATGGTCACCTGAAAGATTGTTCTCGAAATCAGTCACGTCCATAATCAGTGATCAGCACACATGTACGCCCAGAACTATACTTTGCAAGTGCGGTGGTCTTGGTCCTATATTATACAAGGCAAGTGGGTCGGTCCTAGACAGGCTAAAATTTTAGAATGGACAGCCCGGGCACTCCACAACCCCTAACCTTTATAGTGGGTCAATTAGGGGACGGTCAGGCAGCGGGCTATTTGTTTTCGTCTTTCTTCTAATTTTTTCTATTCCCTACTTTTTCTTTCGATTTTCTACTTTAGTCTTTACGTATAGAATTTAGTTTTAAATATAGCTTATATTACTATCTTCTTTAGTGTGGTCTTAAAACGTGTCATTATGTCTAAGCATAATATAGAAAGCTTAAAATCAAAGCATTTTCAAATGCCAAAAATCTGAAGGAGCAAATGAAAAAATAAAAAAATGTTATGTAATGCAACAAAAATAAATAAACATTAGAAAAAATTATATATGGATTAAAAGATGTGTAACTATAATTAAGGAAAACTATGTCAATCAGGTTTTAATACCATTATGAATCTCTGCTCTAGATACAAAGGTGCAACGTAACTTTTCAACTAGTCTTCAATAGTAGTTATCAATAAACAAAAAGGTTTAAACTAGTAATTAAAGAAAAAGTAGTTTGACTCCCCAAATAGTAGCAATATCATATGAAATGAATCAAAGGAGTTGTATACAACTTTTTTAGCTAAAATTATTATTTATTAATATCCGGTTAAAGAAAAATCCAATACGAATAACATGCACGCCTTAACGTCATGGTGCCTCCACTAATACGTCACTTAAGTAAGGCAAAGTACACGACTTGAGCTTCCCAAATGCCAATGCTACAAGCCAAGTGTGCCCTAACCAAGCCCCTTTGCAACACAATATATATGACAAAACAATACCGATCACATTGAAAACCCATTTTAAATTCATAATTCAAATGAAAAGCAGCAACTTTGTTTTGGATAATTGTGGTGTCTGAACAAGCTTGCGCGTACATCAACTAATTCCATGAAGTACTACTACATCCCACTAGCACAGGTATCAAATAACTCTGTCCACTAAGGCTTGGACAGATGGGAAAAAATCACCTAATTTCTTCCCTTTGTTGGGATTTAAACCTAAGACCTCATGGTTCTCAATCCAATTCCTTGACCACTAGACCATGCCAAATGAAAAGCCACAATTTTAAGCTTCTAATTTAGATCTCTTATACTAAGTTTCTAGTTCACATTCCTCGACGCTAACACACTCCTTCATAGGTTACCTAGCAATTGATACATCTTTGTCAACTCAAACACTCTTTTATAATCGAGAAAATCTCAAGGGCTAATGGCGCGTGATTCTAATCTCGACAGATGATCGGCCCACCCCTCTATTCTTCTCCACTTAAATATCAGGTTTTGTCTGAACTCGAGTTCGAACCTATGATGTGTGCCTAACCCACACATCAAAAGCTACGCTCTTACCACTAGACCAAAGTCCTAGAGTAGGTCTATTTATTGTTTAGTCCTACCCTTTTTACAAGGGAGCTCCTTGACACCTACATTAAAGTGGCCCCTTACAAAAGTGAAGCACCCAACCCTAGTCACACCGATTCAAGCTTAAAACCATGAGCTTTCATACTTCGATAAAAGCCAAATAAAACTTCTCAATCTTTGGTTGACTTTAAAATTTGGCTCTTTGGTTCGGCCTTTTATTTTCTACAAATATAACCTAACAAACCAAATAACGAATTAATACATAATATCTATATCATATACGCACTCAATACCAATTTATGTGATGCATATTTGTTTCTAATTTGTCTCAAAAAGTATGACATATTTATATATGTAAAAATAGTTTTACTTTAAACTTCTCATTTTACTATTAGTGAGATAATTTATAACCACAAAAGTATCTAGGACTTGTTTTAGACCACGAGATTCAAAATTCTTTCTTAAACACCATACCCAGTCAAACATAAAATAATTGGGACGAAGTGAGTAATAATTCTTTGAGAAAATATAATATTTATAATAATTTAATTAGATAATTATATATATATATATAACTACTTGCATTATATATGTTTATATAAATCAATTAAATTCTATTATTACATTATTTTAAAAGAATATGATTATTTGAATTTACACATACAATAAATTAATTATAAAATTATATTATTTTTTCAGCCCTTTCAAGCCCAAATTGATGGAAAAAACTCGAACCAAACAAAATTTATTTCGATTCTATTTTGTTTCTAGAAACCCAAAAATCAAAAGGCCAAACCAACATTTGGTAAAATTGAACCGTCCCGACGAATGAACACCTTACTTAAAACTTCAAGCTTAAATGTGCTTAAACATGCATTTAACAAAACTATATGCTATCCTCTAAATGGTACTTCTCTCTTACGTCCTCAACTAGAAATATTCTTCATAGCCGAAAAAACTACGAAGAGAAGCAATTAAAGGTTAGAAGGCATTGATAGCACAACTAGCTAACCTGAGAAGGAAATTGAGACTTGAAAGCCTTGGGTGCAATGTTATAGCCACCACATTCTGCAGCTTTGTAGATCCCATACATCAACTTCAAATCAACATCGTAAAGGAAAAGCCTCATCCCTTTATAAATTTTTCCCACCGTCTCTTTCTTGCTTGCCGGCAACCCTAGAACCTTATAACGATAACAATCCTTCTTTGTCTCGGAGTTGCACATGAAGATCATACCCATGCCCTTAGCCTTCTTCTTTGAGGACGACTTCTTTTGTGACGACTCGGGCTCGTCTTTGCCTTGAGGGGCCACTCTAGACTTACCTCCGAAGGCAACTTTCTTAGAGCTTTGCTCATCATCATTTGACTCCAATTTTCCCAAGTCCTTCTCAACCTTACCGTTAGAGGCTACTTTCTTCATAACTTGCTTATTTTCACCTTTCTCTTGGGGGCTTCCATTTGCCTTTCTCTTCCTATTATTCCTTCTCTTCATTTTTTTAGCTTTTTGCTTCAAACATCCTTCTATTTTCTCCTTATTCTTTTCATTTGCATTTTTTTCATCTTCTTGTTTTTGCATGTCATCTTCCTGGTTATCTTTTTCTACACCAGCAGCATCTCCTACTTGCTTATCATCTATGTTCTGTTCACCATCTTCCTGTTCTATGGTATTTTCTTGGTTATTACCTTCATCATTACAAATAGCATCTTCTTCTTCTTCCTTATCAGAACCACATTTTTCATCTCCCCCTCCAAAAACCTCATTTTCTTTATTATCTTCATCTTCCTCCATAGCATGTTCCCCCTCTAAAGTTACAGTTTCAGCTCCGTCATTTTCTTCTTCTTCTTCTACAAGAGTGATCATTGTTTCTTCAGTTACAGCCGTTTCCACTGAAATCTCAACCGAGCCTCCAGTTTCTATGTGGTTTTCCACCTCACTGGAGTCAAGTGTCGTAGCAGCTTCAGAAGCAACTGCAGCATCTTCTTTGGACACTGATCGTTTAGTTGAAGCATTGGCCTTGCCTTTTGCACGCACCATCACGAACCTATGTATCTCCGGATCAAAGGGTGTTAAAAAAAACGCAAATGAGAAGCAGCTAGTCACACCCATTTATATTAGTTGAACCTATTGAAGAATTACCCACTTTCTTTATCCATAAAAAATTCAAATCAGATGCAAAAAAAAAAAATAAGGAATTTAAACTCTAAAGTTCAGAAAATTTACCCAAAAAAAAACCTCCCAAACGGCGAAGTAAAGCAGTTTTAGTTGGACCCTGCCCCTACCCCTAATATATACAAATGAGCAAACAACTGCAAGTTACATCAACATCTACATGTCACTCCGATACTAGTTGGAGTCTGCCTAAAAGAATCATAAAAATGATAATAATAAAAAGAGCACTGCGAGGTCGCCTTAACAAAAGCTCGATTTATCCACAAATACATCTATAAAGTTGCTGAATTTACTTTTTTATAAGTCGATTTATGATAAACAATAGTGAGATTCGTACAGCCCTAACTAGATTATAATTGACGCTTAATAGTTGTTGTTGTTGATGGAAAAAACTGCGAGATCCGAGAAACAAAAGCTCAATTTAGAAAAAGTTGATGAATTTTTTTTCTTTATTATAAATTATAGTGAGATTCATAAACACTAACTAGCGTCGAATTGAGGCTTAATAGCTGTTACTGTTGATGAGGGGAAAGGGTGAAAAGCGTGTAATTCATCAATCTCGTTCTCATTGAACTTATCTTTAAAAAAAATTAAACCAAAAAAACCCTAATATTAAAGATCAAAGACGTAAAATCGGAAAATTTTGCGGAATTAATTAACTCTAGCGGAAACAGAAGGATAATTCACTCACCTGTAGATTAACGTCGATGGGGCGGAGAAAGCAAATATCCTCTCTCAGCTAGGGTTGAAGTGAAACCCCTTTACGTTTCTGTATTTATGGTGTAAAAATGTAGAGAGGACAATGATGAATGTGATGATCGAATCTGAGCCGTTGGATTTGTGAGATGAAAATTTGAGAAATCCTTTTTTTTCGATGCAATGCACTTGCAGGCTGCAGCTTTTAAAGAATTTTAATAGTGGAAACGGACAAAACCACACACAAAAAAAAGGAAAAACTTATATTCGATCCTTTTAAAAAAAATGACTCGGGTACTTAGTACTATTTTAAGAATATATTATTTTTTATACTTTGCTCACATTATGAGTCGTAAGTCACCGTGAAGGAGGAGAATTGTTATAAGTTGACACTTGGCGTAAAACTTGTCGTACCTTATAAATTATTATAACATAAATTTTATGCAATGTGTTCACCTAGGCACGTATTACATCAATAACCAGGTGTATTGAAAAATGGTCAAGGGATTCAATCTCGTGTTGGTACAATGGAGTATGCATAAGGTCCCATATTGTGGACAAATGTAGGTAAAAGAAACTAGTCTCACAACATTGCGGTCCAAATGAGGTGCAAGATAGTAAAGGATTTCCTTACTCTAGACGATTGTGGGTAAAGAACTAGTCTCACCCGTTATCGCCCAAATGAGGTGCAAGACAGTAAAAGGGTTCCCTTACGATTGATGGCTAAGCTAGGGTAGAGAATCTAGTTTCACCGTATTATCGCCCAAAATAAGCAACATAAAGTGTTTTCTTATCGTGGAGGGATAAAGATAAAGAAGTTAGTCCAAGATATTCGTTTCACATAAGTAATTGAAACATAAGCACATTGACAGAAAATATCAATTAAATTAGTGAAGATTTTAAATAGAATAAGAGATACTATTGCTTGCCTACAAGAGACAAAATAAACACATAAATGGGTTAAAAAATTGGTAATACAAGCTTTTATGGTGTTCAGAATAGATAGACATAGAAATTGAGTAGGGATCATGGTAGAATCTAGGCTTAAGGATAAGGTGGTAGAAATTAAGAGAGTTAGTGATAGAATTATCGTGTCAAGACTAATATGAAAAAGGGAAATAATTCACATAGTTAATGTCTATGCTCCAAAAATAGGGTTATTAGAACAATACTTAGGAAAGATGTGGACACCCTTATCCAAGGGTGGTTTATCCAAATTATTCTTAGTCACTTCAATAATACATATACAGAGCAAATTATACATACATATAGCACATCTAATATTGTAAAATAGAGTCTCGATGTGATCTTGTCCTGCAGGCGCATAGAGTATCGTTCAAGCGCTTTGTTGTAAAAATAAAATTTTTAAAATGGACATACCTTGAGTCCCGTTAAAATGGCTTATATATATATATATATATANAAACTTTATTTAATTATAAGTTCATATCCCCTTTTCATAAAACTAGGGTCTAAGCCCATAATGGCGTTCTTTGTGGTTTAAGTTAATATAAATAAATTTAAGATTTTGATCACCCATTACCTTTATCAGTCAATTGGGATCTAAGAAGGTATAAAGTTCTTACCTTTAAATAAATCCCTAAACATTCACTTCAATTGCTCTTTGTTGAATTTTCAAGAATCCAGGGATTTGAAAGATGATTTAATATTAATCCTTGTTAGTTTGGTATAATAATCAATGAATAGGAACTCACCTTGTATGATTTATGATTCTCCTCAAAACATTGGCCAAAACAAAGTAGGGTCTAATATCCCAAAAGTTCCTTTATTTTTAGATTTTTGTCAGTTTTCGACAAGCGACCACCACATACAGTCTGTATGCTGATCGTATGTCAATTCCTGAAGCCTATGATGATGGATATCAGTTGATATATGGGCAGTAACCGGTTAATATATCACTCGTATATTGAATATACAGCTCGTAGGTTGAACATGCGACCCGTATATGGCCTCCGCAAGTCACCTTCAGAGACTTGAATTTTTCAAACACTTTTGGTCTCAACAAACAGTACAATGTGCACCCATATGTCCAACATGCGGTCCATATGTTGCTTCGCATGTCAAGTTCAAAGGCTTAAAATTTTTAACTTCCAGTGATTTTAAAGACCCCACATACGGTTAGACATGTGATTCGTATCTCGAATGTGCATGCGCATCCCGGCCGCATCTTGGCCCAGATTTCCGACTTAGTTCCTTTTGATTCCTTTCAACTCCAATCTTTTTGTATACTTGGCAGTTGGCACACGCTCAGATATTGACTTTCTCACGTGTTTCCGCCTTAATTTCTAAGGTTTTGGTTTAACCAAAAGCATTTAAGGAGTCTAAACCTTACCTCAATGTACGAGGTGTTATATTATCTTCCCTTTTGGAACATTTGTCCTCGATATCGATTATTGCCTAAAATTTGACTAACTCCTAAGATTTTTAAAAGTTTTGCCAGAGTTTCTTTTATAACTGGAGCTATCCCAGAATTAAAAACTCAACTAACAATTAAAACATAGTCCTCGCCGGCACTTCCACACCAAAAAAAAACTATCTTTCAACGTATACTATAGGTTTCATATCATTAGCCGACATTTCTAAAATTTCAATTACTGAAAGGTTAATACATAATTGAATAGGGAACAAACGAGGGTATCTCCTCTTCATGTCCTCTTCTGCCTCCCAAGTCACCTCCTCGGAATTATGATTTCGCCATAAGATTTTAACTGAAGTTACATCCTTTGTCCTTCGCCTTCGGACTTGATGATCTAGGATATGCACATATTCTTCTTCATAGGACAACCCTTTATTGATTTTCACTTCTTCCTAAGATAGGATGTAGGCAGGATTCGGTCTATACAACCTTAACATTGACGCATGAAAGACCGGATATACCATGAACTTTTTGGGTGGCAGTTCGAGCTCATAAGCTACCTTTCCAGCCTTCTTAATAATTTCATAGGGACCAATATAACGAGGACTAAACTCGCCCTTTCTATCGAAATACATTATGCCCTTCATTGGTGACACTTTCAAGAATATTTTTTTACCCACCGCAAATTCCAACTCGTAATGCCTCACGTCCGCATAAGACATTTGTCAACTTTGAGCTTTTTTGAGTCATTGCACGATAACATTCACTTTTTCAATGACTTCATAAACTGAGTCGGGTCCCAATAATTTTGCTTCCATTGGCTCAAATTGACAATCGGCAATGCCGCCTATATAATACTTCGTATAGAACCATCTAAATACTATTCTGGTAACTGTTATTGTAAGTAAACTCGACAAGAGGTAGATGCTCATACCAATTCCATCCAAAATCAATCACACACTCTCGTAGCATATCTTCAAGAGTTGGAATAATTTTCCCGCATGCTGATCCGTTTGAGAATGAAAGACAATGCTCAAATTGACACAAGTTCCTAGATGTTCTTGGAAATATTTCCAAAAGTTAACGGTAAATTACATACCTCAGTAAGATATAATAGATGTTAAAATCTCATGTAACATGACTATCTTCTTCAAATGCGGCGTATCATAGTGATTTGCAGTATCAGCCGTCTTCACAGGAAGGAAGTGTACTAATTTTGTGAGTATATCCACAATCACCCAAATGGAGTTATATTGGCCTTCGTGCGACGTAAAACCCATAACGAAGTCCATATTAATCATCTCCACTTCCACTGAAGAATTTTATTATTTTGAGCTAGTCCATCAGGCATTTAGTGTTCGGTCTTTCACTTACTGACAATTTAAGCACTTAGCCACAAAAGCTAGATATATAAATCTCCATACTCGTCCATCAATAGTGTTGTTTCAAATCCGTATACATCTTGTGGATCTTATATACACAGAATATTTAAAACAATGCGCTCCCACCATTAACGTTTATCGAAGACCATCGACGTCAGGGACACTTAATCTCTATCGCATCCTCAAGACGTTATCGTTTTCATCAACTGCGAATGAAGTGTATTTACCATTTTGCATTTCATCTATCAGCTTCACTAGGAATTCATCTTCGTATTATCTAAATTTAATCTCTCCATGATATTAGAACGAGCTTGAGTAATTTTAACTAATTCTCTATTTTTTACTTCATCTAACCGGATGCCAAGGCTAGCAAGTCTTCAAATCTACTTGCTCATTGGCATTTCACGAGGCAAAGTATAGGCCAATGTACCCATGTACTTCTGACTTAGAGCATCGGCAACAACATTCGCCATATTAGGATGATATATGATATTCAAGTTGTAATCTTTCAATAATTCCAACCATAATCTCTTTTGAGATTCAACTCCCACTGCTTAAAAATATATTGCAAGCTCTTGTGATCAGTTAAGACATCACAGTGCTTGCCATACTGATAGTGGCGCCAAAACTTCAAGGCGAAGACAACAACAACTAATTCCAAGTTGTGTCACATAATTCTTCTTGCACTTCTTTAATTAATAGGAAGCACAAGCAATAACTTTACCGTTCTGCATTAGCACATATTCCGATCCTACTCTGGAAGCATCACGATAAATCACATGATCACTAGACCCCAAAGGCAGAGTCAAAATAGGAGTGAAAGTCAATCTCACCTTTAGCTCCTAAAAGCTCTTTTCACATGCCTCATACCATCGAAATTCAGCTGTCTTTTGATTTAATTTCGTGAGCAGTGCTATTATTGTCGAGAGAACCTTTCCACAAATTTTCTATAATAATTTGCCAATCCTAAGAAACTGCGTATCTTTGTCGTACTTATAGGCATTGACCAATCCTTAACTGCTTCAATCATTTGAGGATCAATCTTGATACCATCACTCAACACCACATGATGCTTGTGGAGGTACTTAATTTTCAGTACCATTCTCCACCTCAATATTAGCCCCAATGGCTGCACGATTAGCAGTATGAGTCGACCATCCATCTGATGATGCATCTGAAACACCATTGTTCAATTGGTTAGCAGCTCTAACACGAGGGTAGCCATTTTAATGAGGTACGAATAACGAATACATTAGAATGATTTAAAGAAGAGTTTAGGCTCTATAGAATTAAGATGAGAAATACATATAATATCCTGGTAGTTACACCTTCATACTGGTGAGCAAGTTGTATGAAGGAGACTCCACTAGATACAACTCCACAAATATAGACATATCATAGGACACTTCTAAA